GAGCCTGTCAGCTGGTGCTGATGTAGGGCAGGAGGATGGGAAGGACAAAGAAGCTGGTCTGCTGGCATTAACTGATCTTCCTTTGAAGCCTGATGGATAGAGTCAGATATTGTATAATGCAACTAATTCTAATTAATTCCTGAAGAGTGTATTTACAGATGCTGCAAATGCATTCAATCTACGTGCAGCATTCTAATTCTGTGGCTAATGCATGCAGCTCAGACTTTGAACAGGCACTACTGCAGTGAGTTGGACAATAGGCCAATACACGCATTGAGCACTGTGCAGGCTTGCAGAATGAGTTTTTCTCTGCAGTGCTTTATGCTCCGTTTGCTGTTTAAATTGCAGATCCCAAATGCCCTACCAGATACCACTGCACACATGAAGCAGGTGTGCACAGCGTGGGGTTGACGTGGATCAGCAAACTGCAGAAGTTCCTTGACTCAGGTGAGGGTGAGACTGTTGTGCGTAGAGGGAAACGGCTGATGTCTGAACACCAGTGTTTTCTTAGCAGCAAGCAGGGGGATATTTGGGGAATACTGAGAATGCCTTACCTGCAAGGTGGATGCTGTGCATTCCAACAGATCTCTTCCTTGCAGATGAAGAAGACAAAGATAGTTTACAAGAGCTGCGTGCAGAGCAGAAGTGCTTTGTCGAACATATTCTGTGTACAAAGCCATTGCCATGCAGGTAAAAAGCAAAACCTTTCTGCTGCTTCCAAATCAGTGTATTATTCTGGGAAAACATCTATGATTTGCCCTCTTCTACTGCATTCTTGCTATTAAAGACAATAAAATCAACTTAATAGGATTCAAGTAAAATAAATAAGTAATTTGCAAATCAAGGTTCTTAATGTATAGCAGCATGTATAAGCTAAATTCCTTGTGAGTGTCAGAATTACCTGTCAAAATAGAAGAAGTTCCACTTCTGTTTACCTATCCCAGTGCAGCTCTGGGGCTTGCTTCATCTAATAATCCTGATCCTTGATGTGTTCTTTCATCCCTGTGTTAAGACCAAGCTGTGCCTTGAGAAATCTTCTCATTTTTTGAGCTCTGAGTTCCCCACTCAGGGTCAGGAGGCACTGCAGGCATAGGCTGTGTGTTATCTGTGTCTGCTGCATCTTCTTGCTTTAATAAGGCTTAATCACTTCTGTTGAGTGCTCTGTATTAAATGTAATTAAAATGCAAGAAATAATCATTACTTGTGGTCCAAACACAAGTCAGATGAGTCATCTTGTCAGAAGGGCTGCTGAAGTCATAATGGATGACAAACAGCCAGTGGTGTGAGTAGTAATGAACCTGTGGGATTGTGGTAGGAGAGGGAAGAAGGTTTCTGGGTCTTGGCAGATTTCTGCTTTTGATTCACAGGCAAGCTGCATGGATGCTCCCTCCCTCAGGATGGATGGTTTGCTTGGTACATCTGAATATCAGATTCCATTTTTTTTGTTTTGCAGGACTCCTGGGGAGTGGTTCTTAGCTTTGTGACCCATGTCTGATTAAGCTGATTGCTGTGAACAGAGCCTTTCCCAAAGAATTTGCACATCTTTCAGGAAGAAAGTGTGGTTTTTTGAACGGATGATTCTTCTGTTTTCTTCCCTTCAGGCAATCTGCTCCAGTTAGAGGATTTTGGATAGTATCTGATGTGCTGGGACCCACAATGATCTGCATCACAAATACCTATGAGTGCATCACAAGGCCACTCCTGTACGTGGTTTGTAATTGGACTGAAGTCCATGACTGCCTTACAAAAAGGATGTCAGGATTTCTTATTTTATTTGATTCTTTCACCCTAAATTTCTTCATCTCTCATAGCACGCACTGAAGTTTGCCTACTGAATGTTCCTTGGCAGACCACTTAAGCCTTCAGAGAGAAGTTATTTAATACTGAAAAGGTGCTCTGAGGGGATATAACCAATCTATATCACTTCTAGTAGGGTTAGGACAAACCTTACATCAGTTGATTTTTGACATCGTTGTTGGCATTTTCTTCACTTTTATAACAAGGAATCTGCGTAGCAGAAACTGAAGAGAGATTGGGACATGCTGCTATTGGAGAGCTTGCTTGCCTTGTTACTGAACTGGTTTTTAAATAAGAAGATACTTGAGATTCTTTTCCCTTTTTAGCTATGGCCAAAGAGGGGAATTTTGAGCTCCACCAGCCCTGCTTAGAGCTACATTTATAATTGAAGTATTTCATCTTTTAACTTGCTGTTGTAATGTGTGAATTCCACAGTGGATGAGTTCCTTGTTTTAATTACTGTTTAAAGTCAGTTGTAGTTTAAGGTTTTTAAGTGCTCTGGATGTTCTTTGGCAGAACTGCAGTCCATCCTGCATCTCCTTCTCTACTGTGTACCAAAGAAGACAAAGATGATGCGACTTCTCCTCTCCGCGTCCTGGCTGAATCACAGCATTCATTTGAGAAGCACATCCAAAGCATCCTGCGGCGTAATTCTGCCAACCCCTTGCTCCTAAAGTTGGTACAAACTTTTTCCTAGGGGAGCAGAAAAGGGAACTCCTTAGAAATGCCACATGCTCACTGTCTCCTTTCTGAACACCACAGCAGCTTGGAAAGAGCAGTTATAGGCATGCAGTTTCTGCAGCAGACTTGTTCCTTTGGATGCAGCCATGAAAGCTGTTTGTCCTGGTTTCTGCTCAGTGTGATGATAACCTCAGTGCTAGATTAGGCTGCTCTGGCCTTGTCTCGTTGGGTTTTGAGTGTTGTTTTAAAACATCTTGGGATTTTCTCATTAAGAAAACTGTATTACTGCAAAGGGATTTAGTTTTAGCCCCCCATTTTTGTATCCGAGGCCTTGGAGCTCTTACCATAAATGCCTTAAGTGACAGCCTTTGCAAGGAGCAGGGAAGAGTAGGATTGCAAAAACTTGTCTCCTGTTTATTCAGATCTGCTGATAAAGATGCTGCTCCTCCCCCTGAAGAATGCCTTCAGCTTCTTAGCAGAGCCACACAAGTGTTCAGAGAGGAATATATACTGAAACAGGATCTGGCAAAAGAGGAAATTCAGCAAAGGTAAGAAAAGACCTTCATAAGTTAAGTGCTGCACGCTGTCTCTGTGGAACGGTGTTACTGAGAACCCAGCACTAAAGCTCCCCTGCTGGAGTAACTCATGTAACTGAGTAAAATGTATTCTGTGACTTCAGTTTGTATAAGACTTCAATTTCTGGATTACCAGAAATGAAAACTGAGTTACCAAGGAAGCACTCAAGTGAGAGTCTGCTTGTTGGTCTCCTGTGCTTCAGCATGGCAGGAAATCCTTTGGAACTCCTTTGACCTCAGCAATAATTGTGACAAACCTGCTAAAAAGAAAAATTGCATTATATAAGTCTCTACTTTTGACTGGAGTGGTTGATTTATGTTATAGAATTAGGCCAAAAAGGAAGTGTTCTCAGCTGCCCACGTCTTGGTGCCTTCTGTGATATTTGCTATGTGGCCTAAATACTGACTCGGCTGGATTGTTGTTGGGGGTGGTTGAATTTTTTGTGTCTGTTTTTAAGAGTGAAGTTGCTGTGGGGACAGAAGAAGAAACAACTGGAAGACCTTAATTACTGTCGAGAGGAAAAGTGAGTATAATGTGTGTGCATTTATCAAGCTAAAATCAGTAGAGATGTAACTGTAAATAAAACTTCTCAATTGCATTAAAGGAAAAGTTTGCGAGAAATGGCTGAACGGCTGGCTGACAAGTATGAGGAAGCCAAAGAGAAGCAAGAAGATATTATGAATAGGTGAGTGCAGACTGCCTTCTGTTTCATCACAGATTGCTTGCTGTCGAATGTGTGTGCACCAAGATGAAAGAATGAAGAAGAATGGCAGGCAGTACTGTGCTGGTTGTTTGGAAGACTGGCTTTCTGGAATTCTTTTTTTGCAGCTCAGAGATGATATTCAGTACTGAGTTTGCTTGCTGTGAGGGAAGTTGAGTCCTGAGCTCCTAAAACTTAAGCTAAATGACAAAGATGTTTCACAGTTATGTGCAAAACTCTTGTTGTCTGAGCATAACTTAGTCTGGACTATAAGTTAATTCAGCAGTATATCTTTTCTTGCACATGAAGGATGAAGAAAGTGCTTCGTAGTTTCCAATCTCAGCTTCCTGTTATATCAGACAGTGAAAGAGATATGAAGAAGGAACTGCAGACAATCCATGACCAGCTGCAGCACTTGAGCAATGCAATCAGACAGGTGAGATGAAATGTGGCCGGTCGGTTGCTGGTAATGCTCATTAAATGATAGCACAGTCCTTCCACACTGACACAAAGCTGCTCTGTTAAATTAGCAGCAGTGGGCTGCAATAAATTCTGAACCTCATTATGAATCTAGATAGAACCTCTGCACCCTAGTGCAAAGCTAAGGAAGTCTCCATGCCATCTCTGGTTCCTGTACTGCTGTTTTCTTCTCTTGTGGAACAGTGCAAAAGCTTGCTGATTTTATCGCAATCAGAGTCAATAAGTGGTGGGGTGACATTGTAGCTACAATGTGCTTTCCCTCCAGTGGGCAGCACCAACACTGACTGGGACTCCTTCCTTTCATACGTGACTTCTAGGTTAAAATGAAGAAGGAATACCAGCAGAAAAAGATGGAAAAAGGCATCAGCCCACGAAAACCCAGCATCACCCTCAGTGCCTACCAGAGCAAATGCATCCAAACTGTTCTGAAAGAAGAGTAAGTTCAAGCTTGGATCCTCCTAGAGTTTGAATGTAGCATGTACATAAGTTAGCCTTTTCAGGTTTCTAGAGTAAATATTACCTCTCTACACCATGTGGTTGACTCATGCACCACCTGGAGCTTGTAGAGATGGTCTAAAGCATAGAATGTGCCAGCTTGTTAGAGTAGCACTGGTCATATTATGCTACTACTACTGAATCTGCTTTCAGGTCTTCTTTTGGCAGTCTATATGGAGTCTGTAATTAACAGAATCACTTAAAACAACATTCCCATTCTCTGCTTCTGTCCTATGAATTGTTTTTATTATTGACTGTCACCAAACAAAAATGACTTGCAGCTTTTTTATTTGAATTTATTTTTCTTGAAGGGGAGAACGCATAAGGGAAATGGTAAAGCAGATCAATGACATCAGAGGCCACGTGAACTTCTAACATCTCCAAGAGAATAAACCTACAATAAAAGGCTGGATAAGTTTTCATTATTCCGTAGTAATTCTCCTTACATATATTCAACATTCATACACTGAACAATATGTCTTTTCTTTATTATTTTGTAAAGATCAATTATGAATTAAAATACTTTTCATAAGACTCCTCACATGCTGTGGTCTTTGCATTTCTCCTGGCAGGACACAGTGCAGCAGGCTATTTCAAACCTGAAGTACGATAGTTAATACTCACAGCTAGCTTAGAAGTGAGGGAAAAGGTATCACTGTTTCCTTCAGAAAACTGCCTGGGGTTTGTCTGTGAGCCATCTCCTGCCTTTGATCCATGGCACAGTGACTGCAGTGGAAGCCTGTGGCAGAAGGCAGAGTAGAAAGACCAGAGAAGCGCGTACACTTCAGCAGCTTTTTTTAATTGGGAACACTTTCTTCATAAAGGACACACCTTCAATACAGTTAACAAATGGTTACACTTGAATCCTGTAGACAGCAGAATTCTACATCCACAATTGCACAGGACACCAATGGCTTGGTTCACTGGAATGCAGTATTAACTTCCAAAGACTCAGTTTGCCTTTCTCAAAAGCTGGCACTCTTGACATTAAAAGGCCAATTATCTGCTGTAGACAAACGTCAGTGGACAATAAGTAATTCTTGTTCCTCCCCCTCCCTCCCACACTTCCCCTTTCAAAAAGGTGACGTGGTCAAGCTCAGTTTTGAAAAGTAGTACTGCACTGCTACAAAAGTGGCACGGCAAGAGGTGCCAAAGTAAAGCTGTAAGGAAAGGAGGGCTGTTATTACCTGTTAGGTAACTAGGTTACCGTACATGCTGCAAGAACACTTTTTGTACAGATTAAGACTATACAAGTATAGGAATGCATACAAAACTTGATCTTGCCCCTTTTACAGACTGCATAAATAAAATCCAGCTTTCTAATCCACTCACTGTGTATCAGAGCTGAACTGTCAGGTTAGAATTAGTGCCTGTTAAAAAAACACAAACTCTTACTGAGTGAGGAGAACCTACCACCCCATTCAAAACAAGCTCCAGAAAGCCAAGAACTGGAGGGAAGAGTGTTTAGTCTCTGATTTATTATAAGCGATATCATCATAATCCACTGAGTGAGCATCTACAGCTTTACAGCAAGAGTTTTTAACTGCCCTCCATTGACAGTGGTTTAATAAGTGCTCTGCAAATTTGGCACTTTCATTTTCTTTTTTGAAGGCCACTTTACATCTTCTTACATTTGCGTTCAGCCCAAGCTTGAGTTACCACCTCTGAAGCCGTGCTTTCCTTCCCCAGCAGGACATTTGGTTGTAGCATCGCCCACCACTTCTGTGGATGGGTAAGCTTCTAATTTTAAAATAAATTTTTAAAAGGGATGACCAGCAGTTGGTGAAAAAGATCACTCAGCCTCAAAATGGCCATAGTACTAAAACAGGGGTAAGGGTGCACAATGGAGTAAGGTGGTACAAAGGAAAACAATCACATATCGCTGTATTTCCTTCCTCTCCAAACCAAAGGATGTCACTCCTGTGACACATGCAGTGCTGGTTCACAGCCAAGGAACTCAGCAGCCAGCACCACTCCTTTCAGTGCTCATTAGTCCCTTCTGAGCCCTACTGCACATACCTCCAGCCTCACACCAGGCCTGCAGGCCATCACTGGCCACTGGGAAAAGCACACAAGCATGCATACAGGGACACACACACACGTACAACTTCATTCTGCAACTGCTGTAATCGTTGCTGTGTCTATGAATGATCACAGGCTGATCTCTCCCTCAACTGCTCTCCTCTATGGACTGCAGAAAGGCTCTCTGCAGCCATCATCACCTGCAATCTGACATCACCATGCTACAGAAAGCCATTTGTAAAAATTCACTAAGGAAAAACCTCACCAGCCCTGCAGAGTCCAAAATGATCAGCCATGGCCATGGTTGAGGGGAAGGCAAGAACAGGCAGGAAGATGGGGCTGCTGATGATAGGTACTGACAGTCAGACTAGAAAGGGATGCTGAAATGCCATTAACAGTTCTCTTGCATTAGAAAAACAGTCCATAAACTCAACTAAAAGTTCTTTTTCAGCATGTGTCTTCAGGTGCAATTCCTCAAGCGTTCAGCTTGCTCAGAAGATGCACGTCATCATTGTAGTTTAACCAGAAAACAACAGGCTTCCTTAAATCACTGCTGCACAAGTTAACAACCAGTAACCAGTTAGGAGTCAGTTTTATGGAAGGAAGAGAATGCAGGAAAAAAGCCTTCCAGTCTGCAGCTCCTTAATAAAGCCCACCCAAGATTTTTATTCAACAGAATACAATGCTAACCCTTGGAAAACTGAATGCAAAACACCTGCTATTAGATTTCTGCATCAGAAGGCAGCTGCTCTCACCTCACAGTTCAGTAAATGCTGAGATAAAGAACCTAAGTACCAAGATAAAGAACCTAAGTCACACTTCAACTTCTTTTAAATGAAACAAGGACACATTTGGAAGATGACAGCCCTGCCATCTATTACTCTAGTTGTTACTAAGGTAAGAAGAATGGGTTTGAAGTGTCAGCATTATGAAAGAAATTAATTTCTAGGGTGCCTTATTTCTTCGAATAAATGATAAGCAACTGAGCTCATATGCTTCTTTTTGGCTGTTTTTAAGGCATTCCTCTCCAAAACCACCTGTCTTAACTTCATGTCAGTAGCAGACGTACACTGCTAAAATAGGGTTTAAGTACCTAACAAAATATAGTTATGTGCATTACAGTACAGAGCATTCTCTGTCACTTCTGTTTTTTTCATCATCACCAGATCTATGGTATGCAAAGATAACAGTAAACAATAGCAGAAAGCTTAAGATATAAATTCTGGACAATAACAAGCTCTCTCAACCTCTTCTCTTTGAATTGAGTCTTTGCTAGGGACTAGTCCAAGAACTCAATATGCACCACCACTATTACCACATCTGTACATTAAAGTGTTCCTATTCAACTGCGTGCATGAAACTCCACTAAAAGGAGAAAAAGGAGGAATGCTTATGTTACCATCGTGTTACTCATATAAAAATCCCAAACCTACAACCTGATCAATCACAAGAATGTCCTGCCTTAGCCGTTACACAGTGTCATTTAAATGCATGCTAACAGAAATACAGGACAGCGTACGAATCAACTCTGAGCAATAACACAATACTGTACTTCTAAGTAAGAGATGCACTGCACCTTTCCAACTTGAACCAGCAGAATAATGCAGCTTCAGCAGTTTGTGCTCTGTGACAGAGTGCCATCACTGTTTTGGGTACTATTAAAACTGACCCAGAAGAGGAGGGTGAAACTGACTTTGCTTTGTTTAACATCTTACCTTGACCATGCCTGGTGCCACCTACCAGAGCAGAGCTGCCCTTTGCCAGCACTCAGACAACGCACAGGGTTTTTGCTAACATATTTTCTTCACGTGGAGAAGGAATTACTGGTACTGCTCAGCTTTCAAGATGAGAAAGAACTAGCTGTAATTCCAGGTTTTAAGTTACATTTGTGAAAAGTGATTACAGAACAGTGCATTTCTTGTGCTTTTCTTTAAGGATCAGAATCCAGAGGAAGCATTTCAAGGAGCTACGTTCTCAGTACAGTTTTCAGAGTTTTCTGGATTGGCATTTATCTGTTCAGGAGACACACAGCTCACTTGTGACCATCACATTTCAGCAGCATTCATATTCTTCAACACAAAGTCAATGGTTAAAAAAAATACAACACTGAGTTATGAAATAAGATCAATATCCAGTGTCCTGCTAATAAAGTCATATTTTAATATAAAATATTCATACAGCATACTCTACACCTCATTCTCTCTGCTAGCTGAATACTGTTACTGACTATTCAAACAGAAAAACTTCAACCACTTTGCTCTTCAATGTTTTGGAGGGACAATATGGTTTCCAGCAGCTACTTTGATCACAGTATTGGGGGGGAAAGGAAAAAGGGAAAAAACAGAGGGTAAATGTTCCAAAATTCTACATCAGGTTACGAAGTTGGCTGAAAGAGGGGAAGTTTTTCAGAATGTAAGGACTGATCCCACTCAGTGGAACATGAAACACCGCACCCATTAGTGTTTCCATTAGAAAGTTCTCCTTCCTACACAACAAGTCACTCTTGTGCTCTCTTCCTGCCCAGCACGAAACCTTTTCCCCTCTAGAAACAAAACTTAGTCATTGCTCCCCTCTGTTGTCTTCTGCTCTTTCAGTTAGAGTTAAATAATAATTAATGTTGCTATAAAGATGAGTTAAAAACCCCAAACGCAGCCTTGGAGCACGCTCCTCAGGGTGTCATGTTTCAGGAAGCTGATTAATGTCCGTCAGTTTTGTGTCATTCAGGATTGCACGGATTCTCTCCAGGGAATCTGCCTGCCGGATCCGCTCCAGCTGCACCTACGGAGGACCAACAGACACAGTGAGTGAGTAAAACCAGAACTGAGCAATCACATTTAGAACTTAGCAACCCCTACTACCTGCACAAGCAGACGAGACATCAAGTTATCATTGGCTGAAAAATGCAAGGCTTGAAGGAACACAAACTTAATTCAGAACCAAGAATGTGTGGTGGAAAGACATAAGGTTGCGTTTTTAAGATACAGGCTACACTCTAGAGTGCCCGAGCAATCCTCCATCTTCCCTCTGCTTTGTCTAATAACCAGCCACTCACCACAGAGGTCAGGCAAACTGGAGGAGATGTCTCAAGCAACATAAACTTTCATGGAAGTAACAGACATGCCTGACACACACCTTCAGGCCTCTCAAGATTAAAGCTAAAACACTTCCAGAGGAGCTCCCTTTGCCAAGTGCAATCCTGTTACTTGCTTTTCTGATAAACTCTCAAGTCACTTCATGCTGAAAAATCCCCAGCAGAACTGCAAGTAGATTAATGCAAAGAGATCATCATTTATTTGGAGGGGGAACAAGCTTCGTGTTAGCATCTGAGTTTTCTGCTGTAAATTCCCAGCCACTGGTTAACTGATTTTTAATTCTCCTTCATTGCAGATACCTAAACTTGGCCAGTCGACACCTCACCCAGCAGCAAGATACCCAAATTCACTAGTAATCTCTCTTCTTGTGTTAGACAGCAGACTTTGTACTATGGACAGCAGATACAGCACAAACCATTGCATAAACATTGAAAACATAAACAGAAGCTAAAATGTAATGACTGCTTAGGGGCAGAAAAACAAAGTACACAGCTACAACACGCTCACTGAGGTAACTACTGAAGGCCTTCCACGCTGCCTGCAGGTTTTGAAAGAACATTGCATGTCTTCAAAGTAGTGTGTGTATTTTTGCTCTTGGAACTGCACACACCAGCCCATGCTGTACTTTAGAAAGGGAGGATGATAATAAGCAAGAAACAATTTCACCAGCCAGCAGAATTCTTATTCTTATTCTAATTATCTATCTAACCTTGCCCCCTGAGGATAACACCATCCTGCAAACACTGCATCTACAGCTCCCTTGGTGCTCTATACTGTTAACAGTAAGAGAGAGATCAGCTGGATTTAGCCTTGATGAAGACCCCTGCCAGAACTCACTGTGCCATATATTCCACCTCTTGGAGGACATACAAGGAGAGAAAAGCAACAATAACAAGGATAAGACTTGGATAGCATAAAAAGAAAGCAGTAAGTACAGCATGAAGAAGAACCATTCCATATATTCAGGACCAAGCAGTAAAAGTTCCTGATTCTGTCCTCAAATTTTTCACATTATAAAATGCAACAAGGTGTGTCATATAGTAAAGAAGTCAGGAAATGGACAATGAAATGATGAAATGCTGGGACCCAAAATTACTGTCTTTTATTACTCTCTACAGTTTATCACAGTAACTGTACATCTTCGTTGCTGAGAACAGGTTGAAATCAATAATCAGAATTAAACCCTCTGATATAAATATTATACTAGCAATACCTAATCAGTTTACTACACTAATAACTCTAAAGATTTCTCATAATTATCAACACAAGGAAAAATTTTAACTGCTGTAACTTATTTCAGCTCCATAGAAGCAGAGACACACCTCACAGGTTGCACTGCCCTTACCTGAAGTGTCTGAGAAAGCTTTACAAAATCTCTCTGCACTTGCTCGCTGACATCTAATTCAGTCTGCAGCCTCTGAGCTTTATTCTTCTCTTCAAACACCAGCTGCTCAAGGTTTGCCTGCAGAGAAAAAGAGCCTTTATACTACGTTTAAACAGCACACAAAAAAAAAAAAAAAAAGAGAAACTTGCATAAACTGATTATAGCACAATACTGGAGCAAGAAAACACGGTTATTATCAGTGAGCTGGCAAGAAATTAATCCAGTCAGTCTACACTTCAGTTTTACAAAATGCAAAATATGGGGCTAATACTCATCAGTCAAGTATTATCATGATTAGATAGGTTCAAGTATGAAAAAGTCCCATGTCTTTTAACAGCAGTATGCTGAGGGATCTCAAAATGAAAAAGCATCATTCTGAGCTTCTTTGCAACCTGACTGTAGATGAAGGGCAGTAACCTGCTGATGAAAATGTAATTATCTTGCTATCTTTAATTTTAGTCAAAGAAGTCTTTGGGGGAGGGAGAGAAGAGAAATAATAATTGTGATCTGATTTCTCTTTTTTTTCTTTTTCTTCTTCTATCTGTTGAAGTAGGGCTCCTGCCTTCGGCAACAGAACAATAACATTTATTCAGAAATATCAGAGCATTCAGACCAATGCTGGTTGATCAAGAAGCTTTCTTCATTTTTATCTTTGGAAGACAACCCAAAAGAGATATTCAAGTCAGCAGCAACTCAGATCCAGTGCTTTAAAACTCCAAGTGCTAAGTGATGGGAACAAGGATTTAAATCCAGAAGATTTAAAACTGGATTTTAAAACAGCAGAGATTATTTCACTCCAGAATCTTACCAACATTCCAAAACTTCCTCTCCCATTCTTAGGTAGTGATATATCCTCTGGATAGAGCCTGATTATCAAAGAAGATGTTTATGTACTTTACTGTACATAACCTGGACATATCTACCTTTGCTGCTGTTTCCTTCTTCAGCTGTTCTTCCAGAGTGTTCTTTGTTTCCTGCAGACTCTCCAGCTGCTGTAGGCTTTCCTGTGAAGAACTTTCTAACTATATAATTAAGAACAAAGCAAAACGATTAACCAAAATTTCTGGCACTTCCATTTCTCACAGTCCCTCCACTCAGGAAGTCTACGTGCCTCTCCAGGGATTCAGAAATGAACCTAAGCAATACTTCTAAGGATACAGAAAGCTCAATCTGTTTTTCTCTCTTTTTTTTTCAGAGCTGGAGAGAAGTAGCCAAAGCTAACGTTTTGGTTATTAATTAGGTAACCTAATGTTAGCTAGAAATTAGCTAAGTTAATCTTTAGGTTACAGATTAATAAACAGACAAAACACCTTTTAAGTACCAGACCTACAAAAGTATGAAGTCAGACTCTGGCACCAATTCAGCAATTCTATCCTTCAGATTTCCAGAAATGACCCAATGTATTTCCTTTGAAATGGTCACAGAAGAGGTTTATAACACAGCTGTATGTACACTCTTAGTTGCTGCTGAGGGTTGCAATACATTGAGAGCATCCAGTACGTCAGTGCTGTTAGTAAGAAAATTTTCAAGTGCCTATAATGGTGCTCCCTCCTACAGAAGGTTTATGTACATCAGTCCTCCACCATCCACAAGCAAATTGAGATGAAGGAACAAGAATGTGGCATATTTTAGTTTCCCTAGTTCAGCTCTCTTTCTCTCCCAGTGGCAGGCAGACTAAACACAAATACATATTTATTACTGATATGTCTAAGGCAGTTGGGAAAAAAAGGTAATTTTCTCAGATAGTAAGTGGGCAATGTCAAAGACACCAAAACAGTGCTGCTTTCAAAGTCCTGACAGAACTAGCAGAAAAAAAGAATTCTATTTGCTTTGTTTAAACACATGTAAAAACCCTACAGTGAAAGGGCTCCTTACCTGTTCTTTCTCTGCTTTTATTCTTTCCAGTTCAGCTTTTAAACTGGAAATGGAAGCTGAAAAACAACAATATTAAAGCTTGAATGCAAGAAAAATCGCATCTTCAATTACCCATTTTGAGACTTTTACCCCTGCTCACCGATTTCCTCTTTGCAATTCTCTATTTCCAGCTGTAGAGTTTCTTCTATGTTCTCTTTCAAATATTGTTCAGCTTGAATCTGTTCTTTTAAGAATAAAATCTCTGCCTTAAGTTTCTCCTCAAGGTGATCTGCTGCTGTCCTCACACTAATGATGTCTTCACGATATTTTAAAATCAGCTCCCGGAGCTCCTGAATCAACGATGAGCAAGGAGTTGTGTTATGATTGTCAGATATGCAAAGTACCATATCTCTATAAAGTTGTGCTACCCCAATGTTTGCTCCACCATACCAGATCTTGCATCCCGCAAGATATTACAACAGAACTACAATGAGTTTACTTGGTCATGGTAAATGAAAAGCTTGTAAAGATGCTTGTCTCCATAGGGTTATTTATTGCCTGCTCCCCTGCCTTTCGCTCCCTACTCCAACCCATCTTTTAAGCTTGATGTGCTCAAGTTGTGAGTGAGTGGACATAGACAGGATATCTCTTGCTTTTTCGAGGCTCATGATTATCACTGGCTTAAACCTTAATGCCTAGGCAGAAAATAAAACAATGGACTTAATTTAGTGAATCAACACTTGCAATGGAGCTGTGGTGATCGAGGGGTTTGCACATTAAGAATTAAGTAGCTGTTGGGTCAGAATAACAGAAATTATACTCTGAAGCACATTCATAACACAGCTCACAATCACCAGTGGGAATCAGATAAATGGTTCTGTACATCATAGAATATCGGGTTCTAATCCCAAATATTGTTCAGCATACTGCTTTGAGGCTGTTTTTGGATAAAGAAGCATCTTCCAGTGACAAGTCACACGTATTGTTTGTGTTCATGATTTAAAAATGTTTTACCTCTGCTGCTTCTGGTAGAATGAAATCTTCAGCTTGTTGTAAAGACACATGTAAGCTATGTTTTCCTTGAAGACTTTCATTATCTTTCTGCAGTCTCACCAACTCTTCTGAAACCTGCTCCCTTGACTGCGTCAGGACAGCCTTCCAGTAAAAGGAAAAGCATAAGTTCTCACTTAGGATCATGTTCAGATCTCTTCATGCCCTACTTACTATCACTGCTTTCAAAAGTCTGGTGGATTTTTTGTAAAAGAAAGGAAACAAATGGGTTTGTGGATCAAAATTATCAATCCCCTCTGCTGCCTGGCTTACGAGTTAGAAATAAAGGCGGATGAAAAGAAGCAAGCAGTAAATACAGGACTGACAGATTTCCCAGTTTTCTTCCATATTTATCCATTAGCTAACTGTGCTCATGCAGAAAATACATTTCAGAAACTGCCAGAGCTGTTTATTAAAGTCATGTAACAGCTCTGCTGTAAGCTCAGGTTATTAACCTTAAACACTCAACCTGAAATTTTCAGCGGTGGAGGCTGCCTCCTATGCCTTCTAACATCAAACAGCTCATCCTTTGCAAAGAACAAGTATTAAGAAAACAGTTTTGCCTGCATTACAAAATAAATAAATCCAGTGAAATTTTTTGAGAGGAATCACAGCTCAGACATCTTTGTATGAGTACTGTAGGTGGACACTTCTGAAAAGGAAACGCAGATCAATACGTTCTCTGAATCTCCTGCATCTCCAGCAGGCACTACCTCACACAGAACACCAAACAGAACGTATCTACAAGTGATATCCTGCAGGATGCCAGAAATGCAATACTGAGATTGAGAAGAAGGAATCTTTCCTCCCAGCACTGCTGCATAAGGAAGGAGAAAAGAAGAAGCCTGATTCCAATACAGAAGGGAATTGATTGGTTTAAGGAAGTCAGACTTCATTCTGCCCTAGAAAATGAGGTCCTATTCCTGTCCCCTGGCATAATTCCTGTGTGAGACTCAAAATAGTTTTTAAATAGTAAGCTCCCAGACATACCACTTTCTGGGTGTCAGGGCTGATATTTTAAGTCTGACCTGCTAAAACACTGAGCATTCATCTCAAGCTGAAGAAAGTCTACTTCGTCTTCAGATTTGAGGTGAAATGGGATATTAAATATACATGAAAGGTAAGAAAAATAGTTGTCTAGTAAGCTTGATATTCATCTATGTGCCTACACATTTGATTTGTGATAGACTGGCCTCAGAGACTGTATCAGAGCTCACATGGTCAGTATTTTTACGTGTTATAACACAGAGCACTCCCTAGCCAGACTCGGGCAGTCTTTTACAAGCACTCTGAGACCCAGAGGTTAGACAAACAGTGTCATTCAAGTGATCTCTTGTTTAAGCTGTCTTACCATTTGCTCCTGCACACTTCTCTTTGCTTGAGAAAACGCCTGCTGCAGCTCATTGAGGAAATTCTCTGACTTCTGACATTTAACCATTAGCAAAGAGATCTTAAAAAAACAAAAACACACAAGAAAAAACCCACAATCAAACAAAAATAAACACATACAGAGATATAAAGCATGGAACAGATTTTGAAGAACAACATTCTGAAGTTCCCTGTTATAATTGCTAACATATGCTTTGCCATTTCAAACTAACCTACTAAAATTGATCTTGTTAATTGCTTTCTCAGTAAAGTGATGTCACATTTCTTTTCCTTTTTTTTAGCTAACCCCAGAAATGGTCATCTTTGCTGCCTTTGCAGCAGGTAGTTCACCCAAGAACAACAGAAGACAAAAAAGAGTTGTTGTTACACACTATTGAATAACGTCTCTTGATTCCTACCAGCTTCTTTACAAAATGCTTGTACCTGATTAGAGGAGTCTTCAGCACTTTGTTTCATATACTCCTCCAGTTCCTGTTTATCTTTCATTGTTTTTTCCAGCTGGTCATTAGCCTGCCTCAGCATCACCTGCAGCTTTTTCACCTATGTTATTAGAACAAAATAATTTTCCATAAATCTGGGGAGTACTCATTCTCTGAACAGAAATATAGCTTGTCCATCCCACCCCAAGCAATAAAAACAATCCCTCAAAATACTATGCAACACAGAAGTTCTGCTGTTCCAAAAAAACTGTGCATCACTGACTACACCTATGAAGAAAAAGGACATCAAACAGCTCTGGAGCACTGCTGTGTAATGACTTCAATCACTTATTCCAAAGCAGAATGTGACTCTCACCTTCTGTACAAATCTGAAATTTTTTCTTCACTATATGGCAGGAAACAAACCTTTTCCAGTACTTTACAGTCATTTTATGATGCCAGGATGAAGTCCTCTCATTTTTCCTACTATTAAAAATTCTTGCAGTATCAAAGATAATAGAATTTAATGCATGAGAAGCATTTTAAAATATAAATTATGAAAGACATTGAATTCAGCATGAGCAAAACATCTTTTTATAGAACAGTGCCTCTAAGACATGATTTTGTAGCACTGAGTAAAATGGTTTTCTGTGGTAAATATTTAAGAAATACACTTACTGGTTTGTTGTCATGTACACCATATAACAAATTATTGTCATGGTAATAAAATTACATAAGTTATCTGGATTTCAAGTATGCTGGCATTGTTCAAGATAAAAGCAACAAATAAAACAGCAAATAGCTCATTGTTGCATGCTATAACTCCTACAGCTATCAAAATCTTGCTACAGGTAGAAAAGAAATCCTACCTGGTCTCTTGTTTCAGCCTCCTGAATCTGGATACCTTGCAACTGCTTCTCATAATTCGAGCACATATCGCAGCGCCTACCCAGCTTGTTCCCTGCATTCTGCACCTGGAGAACAGAGTTGTCACCTGCCACGAGGGCTGCAAACTTCTTCAGGGATTGCAGGAGTGGTACAAACTCTCAGATGTGTTGTGTGTTCATAAATTGTTACTGATAAGAGTCAGCAGCAGAATCATGTAGCAGCAAGAATAAGTTGTTGTAGAAGTACAAGATAACGTAAAGCAGCTGCTGTGCATCATCTCTTCCTGGCACAAACCCTACTACTAGCACAAAAGCAGTAAGCCAGGACATGCAAGAATTCATTGGGTCATTTAGAGCATCCTTTTGAAACAGACCATATAACTACCTGGGTAGAAACAGACATTTCAGAGAAAAGACTCTTATTTATTTAGTTTCATACTCTTCTCCACTACACTCAATATCAGAGACCGAATAACAGCTAAAATAATAGTTGGGAAAGAAGAAAGTGAAAGAAAAGTTTAAAACAAACAACAAAACAACAAACAGTAGGGGGGAAAAAAGTGTCCAGGTGTGCAGCAAACAAACAGTTTGCCAGCCATGATGGGTACAAAGGGGAATTTTCTTCAAGTTCTAACTGCAGTGAGGGCTGCACTGAAGGCTCATTTGTATTTGTTGCTCCATGTGCCTCCCACACAGAGCAGCAGTTGCATGCCCTCTGCCTGTCCTCCTGCCTCCAGAAATAAGTGGGAAACAGGGTGTTTCTTCTCCAAATTCTACAAAAGGGTTGGAGTGAAATGTCATCCAAATGTCAGCAGGGCATGTAATACTCAAGAGTAGAGGACTGCAGCACAACAGACTCTTCCTCTAGGTATTACAAAGTAGTAACAAGACAAAACCCAGCAATTTTACAATAGGTTTGCAGAGATCTTTTAAGTTATGATTTACCTATAAGTTGAATTCAGGAAGCTGAGGAAATAAAATATCATCACTGCTTCACCTCATCTGTCCTTTGCTTGTTTTTTTCCACCTGCATTCTGTCATCCACTTCCCCAGCACCTTGGTCGTGCCTTTACCCATTTCTGACTTCTCTTTGCCTCCCTTTTTCCCCCTGAAGCATTACCTCTTTGGCCTCTCTTTGGAAACAGTAAGCACAGGAGCCACACAATGCTCTTTTCAGCAGGAAGCCAAATGCAGGCTTTAAACTGGCATCATACAAAGCTGCTGTAAAACTGACAGGCAGAACACCCAGAAGCACCAGTTTCCTTGGTCACCCATACTGAAGCTGGCATAGCATTAACACTAATCTGTTGCTTGTTGCTCTCATAACTGGCTTTTAATGATGCAAGTCCCTGACAATGTTATGAAGCTTCCTTTGTACTAGCTGCGTGTGCTATGCATATCTTGGTTGCTCATTTCTAAATCGCACTCTGCACATAATCCTCAGTAAATATAAATATCCTCAGCATAACAAAAGATCCTTTTGTTAATCTTCAGCCCTCCCTAGCCATCCCCAGCTCCCTCCACACATGATATCAACAGCTGCTTCTGCAAGACCCTCCCCTAAATATATTGCATCAAATAAAGCTGACTTGCTTGACTTGGGCACGTGAAGCATGCTCCTTATGTTAAGCGTGCTTAACCTATAGAAATATTCTGGGAGAAAAAAGTGAATAGCTACATATGATGCCACATATTTCCTGACTGCAAGTAAAGCACATCCAGGAGAACTGAGCAACGTTTTCCCACGGGCAGCCCACAACACACAGCCTCCTGCCACGCGTGGAATGCTCACAGCGGAGGCACGGTGGGCACTCACCTCTTTCTGCAGCAGATTCCACTCTGTCTCGCTCACCAAGCGGTAACCGCTAGGAGACACGTACGCGCTTTCAACTCCCTGTGTAACACTGGAAAGCAGTGAAGCAGTCTCTTCTTGCTCTGGTGTCATTGCTTTGATTGCTTTCTCCTGATCTTTGGTTAACATAAACCCACTAGGCATTTGCAGAGACCCAAGGGAAGCTGTATCATAGTTCTCAGACACTGAATCTGCTCCAACAAGTGGTCCAAAATCTGACTCATCCAGGTTCCCAGCAGATTTTGCTTTGTTGTTGTATCCTAAAGCTTTGGACTGCAAAGATCCAGATGTCCCTAGACTGTCTGTCGACTGTGCTCTTCGTAGTCCATCTTTAAACATATCGTTTTCTGATTTGTTGAATGATTCACCAGAAGACAGAAGCAAGTCAGCGTCCAACGAATGGACTGAGCTGTGGGTGCTATTTAAATGCACCTGTAATTGAAAAATAAGGAAGAAGTTACGTACTCCACTCTAGAAGCATGGTACAAGTAGAAATGCTGGACACCAAATATAAGGCGCATCAAAAGGAGGCTTAAATTGGCTTTAGTAAAAGCATCTGATGGCTAAACTGAAGACTGCAGAAAAAAAGAATACAGAACTGAAACGTACCAGCCACCATTAAAGAAAAATAATCTTCTGTTAACAGAGTGCTTTTGTAAGAATCTGTCTTCCTGCCAGCTCCCTTACAAGGAGACTGTCACCTTACATCTTCTAGTATTTGAAACAAGGCACTTCTTCCACTAACAGAGATACAACCTGCAGCATCACTTCCAGAACTGTAATCCAAAGAACAGAGAAACAGTGCATGGATTGCACTTTCAGAACTATGCTTAGATGTCTGCTCAACTTAAAAAAAAAAAAATTAACACCAATGTATAAGCAAGCAAAGAATGATGTATTTAAAATGTACTCCATGCTGACAAGTGAATATTTCTCTTGTATCTCTTTCTTCTGCTTAAGGAGTCTGACAAAATATTGCAAAAGAAATAAGTTTTTGGTTTTTTGTTTTGTTTTTAATGCTATATTTAAAGTCTCATTTTCACATAAAATAAACTGTAAAGGAATGAGGCAAAGATTAAGTAGAAAAACATCCTGGGGAATGTCAATAACAAAAGCCACAGTAGCTGTCCTGTGACCTGTATGAGGAACATTAAGTCTCTTGATCTATTTTTATTTATTTGTAGCACTGAAAAGACACCAGCAATGCTTTATTTAAAAAGCATGAGACTGTTTTCAAAACATCTTCAATACTGTACACTTCTGCTTTGCCATTAGGCAAGTAAAGAAAGTAACACTGAAAATAAGTCTCTTTAGAAAAATATCAGATTCCATAATAGGTCCAACACAGACTAGCAAAATGGATAAGCAAGCAAAACACAGTGGAAGAGGAGAAATAACTGCCTACTCTGACATCTGCTTCCAAGCTCCAACCTGTGTGCACAGTGGTCCTTCTGCTTCACAAGTGAAAACCTTAAGCAAATCTCAAATGCAATTTCAGCTTGTCCTAGAACACCATTTCCTACAACACCAAAAGCACCTGCTAACGAACCACATCCAGCATTATCACTTGTTCTGGCTGTGCAGTGAAGCTACGAACACAACTCAAGTGGCTTCAGCAAAAACCTGGTGCTGAGCCTCAATTCCTGGCTTGACTGACAAAAGCTTATTTTTGCCTGCTGAACAGATTTGGCCCAATCCCCAGCTTGCACAGTTGGATACATCTTGATATAAAATAGATAGATAGATAGATAGATAGATAGATAACACACAGACTTGCACACATGCTATTTTGCACAGGCTAAAATAAATGACTTATTTTGCCATCAGTGACCTCACAATTGCCTAACCAGTGTAAATTTAGTACAGAATTCAAGAAATAAGTTAGCAAATCAGCTGCAAAATGCTCGGTTCCTGTTCAGATTTAACTGGTTTAATGCTGAAAATTCAGGTGTTTTAGGAGGTGGTTGTAAATCCGCAAAGAGTTTAACAGCAGTTAACATCCAGAATGCAGAAGGTAGATACAGTTTCTAACAGCAACTCTCAGATGATTTTAAAGAATCATTTTCCAATTTTCATTAAAATTTATGTATTCAAGTGCAGCTCAAAAGGTTTTTTTATTGCTTAGTATGAATTATAAGAGATGGAGAACAAAGGGCACAGAGGGTATTTGTATTTGTAATCATCACCCTGAGGAATGAACAAGTACATGAAGCTGCTCTGAATTGCTTTACCTCTTCATTAGAGAACTGGGTAAGGGATTCCTCGTGGGCTAAAGAACACGTAGCTTTTGTTTCATCATCTGAATCTTTCTGTTTCTGCTCCTTTCTTTTGCTAAGTCTCTGCTGATCATCTTCTTCCTGGAAATCAATTGACAAAAAATGAATTTATATAAGCAAGATTCAGCTTTACTTTAGTAGTCATTAGCTTTCATCATAAACTGTTACAAAGAAAGGCAGCAATAGAATGGGGTTTTGGTTTTGTTTTTTCCTCACATTCTTTGTTGTTGTTGTTAAAATCCCAGTAGTTACCTCTTCAGGGTTCTTCTGGTTAAAAGTCACTTAGTGTTCATACCACAAGGCAACCAAACTCACTTAAATTATAACCTATTTTAAATAGTGGACAATTGTTGCTTAGTTGAACAATTTTAATCAAATAATGCAATATTTAGAAGAAATTTCCTGTTACAGGAATTACCAAATAAGCAGCTCTCACAGCTCTTACACTGGTTATTGTACAGAACCTGGTAACATATGACAAAAAAAATCAAACAAAGACATCATAGAAAACAAAATCAAAATACTAATACACAGTGTGAGAGAACTAAAAAAAAAAACCCAACAAACTCACACCCCAAAACCCACAAAAATCTAGACAGAAGTGAACCTCCTATCTCAGCACCTGTAACACCTTAACAATTTTTTTTTATGCCATAGATGACAGTTTCTTCCTCCAAGATTAACTTTTGGATATTATTACATATTCACTTAACAATATTAGCAACATCACTTTAAAGGCTACTACAGATACTAGTATTGAAATATTCAAACACAATGAGCGTTTCTGTTACAATCATCAGCTGTCATTCAAATGGAGAACTTCTATTCCAACTGTCAGCTGTCATTTTTTGGAAACACACATCAATAACTTTTGCCTCCAATATATGTTTTCTATACCTGTTACACTAAATTTACAGTATTAAAAAAAAGAAGAAAGAGAGAAAAAAGAAAACAAGACAAGCAGAGACTGACCTGATCTTTTTTTTTCAGTTCTTCGACCTGTCGGAGCTGCTCAGAGGTCAGCACAATCTCCATACGCTGCATGTCTCTCATCAGCAAACGCTGGGACTCCAAGAACTGGTCGTTGGCTTTTTGCCACGTGTGTTTCAACTGGTTGTGCTGTTGTCGCTCTTGCTCTAAGAGATGGCAGACTATTCAAGAACAGAAAGAATCATTCTGAACCAGAATTCTGTAATGACTCCTCCTGAGTGAGGCATTCTCATAAACAGAGTTAGTTATTGTTGTAATAAAAAACAATATGGCTTTGTTCAACAACCACTAAGGATGAAATAAGAATTTTTCTTAATTCCTGTATCAAGTTTGAGAAAAAGAATGCATTACTGACAACTTTAAGATTTCCCAGTTAGAAAAGTAATGCCTTCACTTCAATCATGGGCTCTAATATTCTCCTTTTTAATGCTGATATTAAAAGACTGTCTAATTCCCTGCTTATTTCAACAGAAAATTCTGTTTTTCATGTGATTCTGCTTCCTTCAGGCATTTCCACATCCATTCCACCACAAGGCATTCAGAAGTGAGATATTCCAGGGAGACATATCACCAGATTACATTACAGAAATAATGCTCATAATTCTACACAAATAAAGGACACCAAAATCACTTTAGTAAGAATAAAGCTCGCAATACTACGAGAACCTAAGACAAATTCAACAGCATCTCTAGAAAGAGTAAATGGGATTTATGAAGGAGAGAACTGATAAGAGGACTCCAAAGTCAACACTTTCATAAACAGTCCACAAGCTTTCACATTTCTAAATAACTCTCCCCTATGCCCTCTATTTATTTATTTACAGTCCAACTCATATAAGAAATCAGAAGAGAAGTAACAGACATATTGGTGGATTGTTTTTGTTGGTTTTTTTTTGCATCCTTAGAGTCCAAGAGTCAAAAGGATTATCATTAGACAGGCACCTTCATGCAGCTCTTTCCTCAGCTTCTCTGCATCTTCTTGCAGGACAGATTTTTGCGTGTTGAGAACAGCCACGTACATCTCTAAGTCTGTCCTACAGGACTTCTCAGCCTCCAGATAATGGTTCAGTTCTTTAACCTGAAAAAAAAAGTGAAATACACAATCTCAGTGAAGTAATGGTTGGAGGCACCCCCTTTTGGTTAGAAGTCAGGGTCACATGTTTGGGTATCAGAAAGCTGCTGAGGACAGCAGTTCATTTCTGGAAATCAAAGGCTCTCAGCTATCGGTGTTGAAGCAGCATTTGCAGGGTGTTGTTTTTGTTTTTTTTTTTTCCCCTGAATGAATTATTCATTAGAATTCCACTAAATCAAACTTTTAAGGAACTTCACTAAGGTTTCTATAGTTAGATCACAATAGTGGCAGCACCAAAAAGTGGTAAAGAGGCAAACATCTAACTGCAGACAATTAAGTAATCCTTCAGTCAGCACTGATAAACCAACAGCTACACAATATGTCTGGTTTGGGGTTTCACACTCAAAAGAAGATGTGGAGACGATCTAAAATGAAGCAGTTAGAGAACCTAACTGTAAGAAAGTTGGGGAATGGACAAGAAAAAAACCTAAGCAACATTCAAATCCATGCGAGTCTGCAGAACTAAAAGGCAAATCTGGGATGGGATGAAAACCAAAACCAATTACAACAAAGTGCAAAGCACTTGTATTTCTGGAGTGACATTTTATTTGCTGAAATTATGCAGTCATGTCTAAGCAGGGATAACACACACGTAATCCAACCTTGAAAACAGAAAGACAGGGAAATGCCTATAGGCAAAATATGTTATTTGTGCTACAGGAGGAAAAAAAAGTATTGTGCATGAAGAGCTTCACAATACACACTTTTATTTCTTACAGAATTTGCCATTATTTATCTGCATCAAACAAGCATGATGCAAGACGCAGACTGGGACGTGGTTACAATTCCACCTTACCTTTGATGCTTCTAACTCCTTTATTTTTTCTTCAGCTTCTATCAACTTCTCCTTTAATGCTGCAATCTCTTTCTCCATAGGCATCACAACTGAACGAAGCTTCTCAGCATCTTCTTGGGCCTGAAATTAACACAAGTTATGAATAACCCATTAGTAACTAAATTTCAAATCCATGCATGGATTGGGCCATCGATATCGGATTGAAATCCATCACTCTCAACACTTGCAGGAAAATTCAGGGGCCATGCATTTCAGAATGCTTACCCTTGGTGTTATTAAAGGCCTAACAGTCCTGCAGCATGTTGCCACATGGCACACGTGAAGAAACTGATCACAAGAACTTCAGGGTGAGTTACTGAAGTTACTGACCATTCATTTACTTACTTATGAAATGAAGTAACACATAATGCAGCTTTGTTCTGTTTTGGAAGATTACTTTTCAACATTAAGTTACTACTGATGCAGAATCAATTTTTGGTGTTAGCATACTAAGTATTTAAAAATCATATACAGCCCATCTATCAAAAACATTTCCATGACATAAAGAACAGTTCTGAAAAGATCAAAGCAAGGCAACAGAATGAGAAGATTAATAAGCCAGGAAGAATTTAACCTGATTAAGGTTGATTTTATGCACGGAGACTGAGAACGCTCAGATTTTCTCCATTTGCTACTAGAGGAATTCACAGCAATGGATGGGGGGGAAAGAAAAGGGTGTCCCAAAACTGAACCTTGAAAAGCTGACACTTAGCCTGATCAAACATGACAAGTGCTAGACGAAAACATTCATGCCTTGTTTTAAATCTAGGCTAAAATGTAGGTTTCTTAGCCTATTCACTGGATTTTCATTTTCTGGTAAGCTTATTGATGACTGCATCCTACACAAGACTTCCAAGAGCAGATCAGACAAGAAAAAAATGTTAATAATATAAAAATAAATTAGTATTATAATATATAGAAATGCTACCAGGTCCTTGGACTACAAAAGGCTGTCAAGAAAATCTATAGGCAAAAAATGATTTTCTTCATGCTGTATTCACTTCTGCTGTATTTTATCAGTGCAGAAAGAGTACAAATAAAATCTTTGAGGAAACATGGGGAAATCACATGTCCCAGTGAATTCAATACTGGGGGCATGTGACAGTCACACGTACACACACAGCCCCACGCTGGCAGCCAGCAAATCATCAGTCACACTTTTTGAACAGATGGGAGAAGGAGTTCAGCTTCAAGTATTGCTTTATAATTCATTTATTCTATCAGTTCTGTTTATTTAAACCTATCTATAGCAGGACATGGATAGCCCCTTATCTTTAGGGCTGTTGAATAAGCTGCTTCCTATTATTCATGATGGCTGCAAGAACACTCCATCGCCAGTCTGACTTCACACTGCTTTACGGTGTTACAGTTAATGGATTTTCTCTGCTGTTTAAAAAGGATCTTATAACCAAACAGAACACATCTGAACTGAGATATCACTGAGCCAAGAAGGTTAGAAGCTGGTGAATATCCTGGACTGCAACATGATACCTGTGATCTTGTATCTGCTCTTCCAATTCCTCTCACCTCATCCAGCACTACAATGCAATGCAAGACATCAAGATGGTTTTCTGCTAGTTTTAAGATTAACTGGATTTTGTATGCTGGTACACGATCTAACACACAGACTATTATTATTACTATTATTATTATTATTATTAATTGCGATGTTTGGAGATTCTTTAGAAATGAAGATTAAAATATTTTTTAAAAACTCTTCCCAAGTTCATGCCTTGAGATAAAATAAATCTTTTTAACACACAATATGAAGAGAGAGGATGAATTCATCTCTGTTAGACAGAAACACCATTTTGTATGAGGAATTGATTGCTAGTCATCAAGCACAAAATCCCCAATGATGGAGAAAATTCTTCCTTTCTCACTGAGAGCTGTGGCATGAATATTCATTATTTTGATACCCAACCACAGCTTTTTGTGGGCTTGGGACTTGCTTGTTTGGTTTTTGCTGAAATTCAATGTCCTTTTCCTAATTTTGATCTTACTCTCAGTCTCCTCGAGGAAAAATGGTGCAGGTTTAGAGAGGAAGAACATTAAAAAACCCATGGAAAGCAGTTTAAGCAATTATTTCAAGCTGCACTCTGGAGACAGATTTCCCCACCCCCTCATGTTACATCAAGTACATGTTCCTCTGCTTTACAGACCTATAAAGCTTTTCAAGCTCATATTGATCACCAACTGATAAGTCAATCAGACTTCCCAGAGGATCACAAGTAAAATTGATTTCCACTTGAAAGAAGTACAGCTGAAGACTGTATTTATCTGCTATCCTAAACTTTTAAATGCAAACTGGACAACAACAAAGCCACTAAGCTTAGGAGAGCTGCTCCACATCTGAGCAACTTGCAGCTCCAACTCTTACATGATCACTGAGTCCAGATGGGAAATAAGTCAGACCTCTGCACTATGAAATTTGCATTATCTTTTTTTGTAAGGGATCCATCACTGATCAAATTCTGATCCTCCCCTTGCAGTTTCTGCCAAAATTCTTTTTCTCAGCAGTGCTGAAACAAACTCTAAAACAAACAAGCAAAAAAGCTATGCCCTAAAAATCCAACAGCAGTAATTCTGTAGACAGAACAGCATCAAATAGGCTTTACTCAAACCCCCATCTTTATAAATCAAGGACTACATAAAGAAGAGTCACTGAATACCAAGCAGAAAATATCCAACAAGAACTATCAAGATTCACAAATCTCGTTTATAAGTCTCAGAAAATAAATTCCAATTTGAGACCCTAATACTGATTGCTTTTTACAATATAGACCTAGTAGAATTCTAATTAACATACAATGTTTGTGAAATTCAGCACTCTGTTTCTGTGCTGACAGAAAGCAAAAATGTGGAAATGCAGTGACGTAGCATATTATCAGATATTAGCCTACTCTTTTCTTTATCCAATATAAGATCATTTGTTGCATAAAAAAAAGTCTTAGAATACCTTGAAGCCTTTTGATAAGATGAATTCACTCAACCAAAAGTATTTAATCATATGATATGTAAGATTCCAAACCTGATCCATTAGGACAAGTTCAATCTCCTTCCTGCCTGAAAAACTTCAAATGCAACAAAAAATCCATATTCAACACAAGGCACTTCAAGTTACTTCTGTGGACTGTTCCAAGTCACAGAATTTTGACTCTTGAAGTTGTGAATCATGAAGAATGGGCTGAAAGTTGGCAGAACCAGGCTATTTACAGCATGGTCTAGCAACAAACACATGGGTAACAACACGAATCCATCAAACAAAAGCTGGTGAGCTCGATTTCAACATACCTTTTTCATTTCATTTTCGAGATTTTCCTCCTCTTGGCCTTCAGACAGTCGTCTCCTTAACTCTGCTATTTCTCGTTCCATGTTTTCGCGATACTGATTCCACTGCGCTCGTTCCTGTTCCATCCTGTGATGATACTGGAGCTCATAGTCACGAACAGTCTCTATAAAACATTATTTCTAAAACTTAATTTCAATGTAAGTTAAAAATAAAGCTTTATTAACTTCATCTCCAACCAGCCGATGGTTTCTCAGACTTAACTGAAACTATAACAACAGTGAAGTCTCTCTTGCCCTCTCCTCCCTTTGACTCTTATCCCAAAAAACAACCACAGAAGCAAAAGATCCAAAGGAACCACATTTCAGTTTGGGACGCTGCTATAACACAAACAAGCTGCCAAACTGTATGATCCCTAATTTCCAAAGAGCACACATGTTTAACATCCTGTTCAGCAACACATTTTGTACCTTCAAGCACATCAACGAGACGAGCTACCAAACCCATGCTTCTTTGTTCTAAAATGCAAAGAAACAACTAGAACTTCTCAAACCCTTCATTTCCCTATTATTATTACTACCCTTCAGGTAAGAAGCTGTCTTTATATATATACAGCAGCTGGCACAACAGAGCCTTGATTTAAGTTCATGTACCTATGTAGAACATAAATAAATAGAAATTTGTCTATTCAATATGCATGAAGATTTGTGTTCTCTTGAGGAAAAGCATTATACAAAGATGGAAACAACGCCTACAGACAGCAGGCTGTAGGCTCAGGATATTGTGATCTTTAAGAAAGCAGCCATTTATGGCAACAGTCTGTCCCCAGTTTACATCCTGCATTTTATTCCTTGCACATAGTTTGTTTCAGGAAGAACAGCTGTGCAACATGCAAACATAATACAGAATAGCTCAGGAGCATCAAGAAAAACAGAAACAAAACACAGCACCCCACAAGTGAAAAAGAGCAACACATCCAGTAACTAGCCTGGGGAGAAGTCCATGTTATATGGAGGAACACAACTGTCTGACAGCAGAGCTGTGTTCACACAGAACAGAAGAAAATTATGCTGTCAACTTGAAGCTGTTTTCAGTCTTGTCAAGTTACCCATACTATGCGTATCTTCAAGAAGAATCTTCTAACGAAGTATTTTCAGTTCCTCAGAATTTTTTTGTATATATATATGGGAGTTCCCACGGCCATGATCCCTTCCAAATTCTATTCCCATATTCACAGAAAAGAAGAACCAAGCACCTTTTGACAAGAGTAGGAGTGAAGCTCGATTCTTCTGTATTCTAGTTGTGCCAAACCATAGGAGGCAGCTATCCATATCACATGCAAGAGCAAGCACGAATCACTGAAAGTACACTCAAGAGGCATCTGATCTTAGCAGCAGCAGCTTGTCTGGTTGTAAGTTACCTTTCATAATAGCTTGTAGTGAAGCTACTTCCTCTTGCCACTGTCTCTTCACCTCATCAATAGCTTCCTGCTTTGTATTCTCAGATACTGTAGCTATAGCTTTGATGTTTTCCATTTCAGCATGAGCTTCCATAAGTTGCGTCCGCAATTGTCCCAGATCATCTTGGGCTGCCTGCAGCACTGCATTTTGTCTTTTTAGGTCCTCTGAAAAGAAGTATTATTTCCAGTTAGCTTGATTAATAAATTCAGCGTTAAGAGTATTGATAGTGACTATGATAAAGAGCAGTGCTCTAATGAGGGGAGAGGGAAGCGTTGATATTAAAGCAACCAGCCATAACAAGTAAACAAGTGTTAGCAGGTATCTTTAGGGAACATATTTCCTTGAATTCATTTGTCTTTGCTCTTTATTAAAGAAAAAGTGGCTTTTTCCTTACTGATGTAGCCACGAAATGGACACTGTAGATACAACCAATGAATCAGCATGCGTGATGAAAATGAACCACGCTTCTAACTAGTTTGGTATTATTCAGTTATGATGAAGATTAAAGATAAGATCCACAGACAGGAAGACAGTTCTTCCCTCATTCTTGACACCAACTTGTTCTGAATTTGTATAAAACATTTCATATTCTAGAATACAAATGCTCTGTTAACACTGCCTGGAGCCCACATAGGAAAACTACACAGCTTAATTCGCTTTTTACCACACCTGCACTAAAACTAAGTTTCTTCTAGAGAAAGTAATACATTCAACTAAAATTATTTCATGCCTACATAGCCTATGTCAACAGCAATCACTTTTAGCAGAAATCCCTGGCAAGCATACAACGAGCACCAAGCTGTCTCCATGTATTTCCCTCAGTACCAGCAGTCTAATCCTTGTGTGTTTAGGAAAAAGCAATAAAAAAAAAAAGAATCCTGAGGCATTTATATAATTTATATTATTTAGGTTTTAAGTGATAATATTAAGGATAGGCTGCCACAGTCCCTGTGTACATTTAGGAAAGGGTTTAGAGAACTGGGAAAAAAAAATAAGCTTTGGGGAAAAAAGAAAACAAGAAGAGAAACTGCTTGTATATTCTTCTCTGGTATTCTTCCACTTTGGTACATGTGGGTTTTTTTCTAATTATAATTTATTTTTATTTTCTATTTTTTGACTGTTCTGAGAAAACAATTATTGCTGATCTCATCACCAGTGTCTTGTATCTTAAATTTCCTTTCATGCAGCTGCTAGAAACACAAAGAAACAGGCCTTCTGCATGATCTGATCTTCATTATGCTTGTTGTATTTCTACTCTCATAAGCTTAGACAAGCAGCTGCAATATTAATGTATTATTTTTTGATTTTCCTTTCATATGTTAAGGACAGAAGGATCATCAGAATTAGAAGTAAATCAATTTGGATCTCAGAACAGCAACTATTTATACTCTCTAAGTCTTCATTGGCTATTTGAGCTCACATGGTTCAACGTTATTGGAATAAATGCCCTTGGCTAGTATTAAAACTTTAACAATGTTTGTCTGCTTGCATTCTAGCTCAGATGGAAATTAATACATTAAAAAAAGCTGGCCACAAAGTACAAACAGCACACATCTAGACTACTTCTGTCTACTTTCCACTTAACTTGCTGTTCAGACAGAATGAGCACGCTGTGACTTCAAAAAGTTTGTATTAAGATGCAGCGCTGGTGTTCCCATGTTTACAGCAAGGTGCTCTGCTGAATCCTACCCATGAAGGTGAATCTTCACATTCATTTTAAAAATTCATTCTTGGAAGCTGAATGGCCATCAACAGAATCTTACTTTCTGCACAAATCTTGCATTCCTACTATATATTTCTCTTTAAAAGACTTAGTGCCATTTTTTCCATTTTTGGCAAATCAGAAACAATGTGTTATCTCCTAATGGGCATGCAAGTCAATTACCTCAACTATCCTAATCTTAAAATCCTAGTCAGGGTTACCCTCCAGCAAACTGAGAAACAGAAAGCAAGCAGTGTGCACAGACAAATGAGGAATAGTAGCTGGCATAACAAAAGTTAGTTTTCACCTAGGGATTATTTACAGCTAAAGTTTCATTACACATGAAAATAATTCAGATAATTGAGAACTTACCTTCCTTTGCCAAGTACAGCTCCTTAAATTTCGCTCTCTTTTGATTAAATTCTTGCTCAAGTTGCTGCTTTGTGCGCAAAAATTCTGCGTTGACCTTTTCCAATTCTGCTACCCGTTGTAGAAGAGCAACTAAAAATAAAACAGAAGATAAGGTACGTCACTAACAGTTATAGCATCCCATTCTGCAACCTGAAGGCTCTGGGCTCATGGTTTTTAGAGTACCTTTATAAATTAGCTCAGCTGTTATACCACAACCTATCAGAACAACCAGTCAGAGCTCTATGAGTACCAAGGGAAGATAAGTCCTGGACTTCAGCACCAAACTGCAGTAGGTTTCTACAGACACAGAGGAGTATGGCAGTGAATTCAAACAAATCACTTGCCCTTAGAAAATCACACTTCTGTAAATACATTGAAGCAAGAAACAGGGAAAAAATATACCGCAAAAAATCAGTGGCAGAATGATCTCTATTGGTGCTTTTTCTCAAGACATTGGGAAGTTAGCCACCACGCACAGGAGCAGCACGTGGAGGTGGAGCAGCAAATTACAGCATTCTCAAAGGCTGAGGTCAAAGAAAAGCAATGACAGCTGTTGACCTAACAGTTACAGAAGAACAAAGCAAAAAAGAAACAGTCATGAGCTAGAATAAGATGCTGTAAGCTCTCTTGTCTTCAGTACTGCAGAGGGAATAGTATGAAGTTCACTCAACACCTAATAATTGTTACAGTGAGGCCACTACTGAAATAAATGTACAACACCATTGAATCCTGCTATGGTATCCCACAGGATAAGAAGCACAGCAACCAACATATAATATTGATCTTTATATGCAACGTTAAGCACTTTGCACCTTAAGAAGTACAGGTCTCATTTAGGTGCCAGGGGGTTTCCTACTGCACACTTCAGAATTCAATTTCAAAACAGAAACAAGAGGCAGATGAGCTCAAATAAATCCCACCTGGATGCTGCGGTGCTCTGAGCAAATAACACTCCTCTAAGCAGTTCTCTATCTGTTCTACAAAAGCAATTCATGGATGTGTTCCAAATCTGTCTGTAGGAAAGCTGAATCACTTCATTTCAGTTATAGCCTTTACACAGCACTAGACACAGACTAGATACACAAAATGCTGATCAATCACACGTGCTTATGTATCCCACCCAAATCACTTCCCACCAAAAGCAAGTAGTGAATGAAAACACAGCATAAAGGCTACACAGCTTCATCAGCATCACTGAGACCTGCGCTCTGCTGGCAGCAGATCCAGAGCAGCAAAATGCTGGATGCTGAATGCCACCAAGACAGTATGAGTTATGTTTGGTTTTAGTACCAGATGACTTACAGTAAGTGCAGACATGAACAAAAGGATGTTTTAAAAGCACTGTTATGTTTTACTGACTGCTGGTTACGAGGGCTTATGCTGTTATAAAATACAGTACTTAAATAATCTACTTGACTCCATGTCAGACATAGGTATGTGTAGCTTCCATTCTGCAAAGCCAACTGCACAGGAGTGCTCTCTGGAAAATGAAACCTGGACAAAAGACAGCTCACTGAGATCAAGGCTTCTCATGAGCTCAGAAAGTGGGTGGATCTAACCAGGATAGAAACAGCACACGTGGAGCCAGGCCCAGGCAGCAATAGTGCTTCCCAAGGCTAGAGATTTACCTTTGCTCTCTTGCTGCAGTCATCTGAAGGGAAGGGTTGGCTTGTGTTTCCTTGCCTATATCCCTTCCATCTTCCTTCTGCAGTGAGCAGTGCTACTGCTCACATCAGAAAGCAAACCTGAGTTGTGCAGGGCACCCAAATTACATTACTTTCCAAGATGTGAGTTGCTACTGCTGAGGGTGGAGGGCAGAGCACACGGCAAGAACAGAAACCTCATTGGCTTTAAGCAGGGGCAGTAGTGAGTTCAGCCTTCTGAAATCCTCCCACACAAACTGAGAGGCATGGCACAGTCATCACAAAGGAAATGGAAATTAAACCTCAAACGTTCAAATTTTTACAGTGCTGCCCTTCCCTACAGCCTGACGGATAGTTGTAAAAGAAAGAAATGAATAACCTCAGCACAGCAGTGCTTTGGCTGCTGCCAAAACCATCCGCAGCACTGAGAAAAGCAAGCAGTGAAACAGGAGACCTGCAGGCCACACATCAGCACAGCGGGGTAACTAACATCAAACTCCATATCTGAATAGAAGGAATAAAGCAGTTCCACCACCTGTAGGCAGTATGCAGCTAAGGACAGATCTTGCCATTCCCCACAACAGTGTTATCCACATTTCACTAACATGAGACGTGCGCTTAGGGACAGTAGATTATATAATGTGCCAATCCCCTGAAACGAACATGCATAAAGAGAAAAGGTTTCTTTTCTAAGACATCACAACAACTCCCTTCTTTCTACCACATAGAAATGCTTATATTTTCACAAGATTTTTCTCTGTAGGTACAATTTGTATGACAGCAACACAGATAGTTTACTTCCTAAAAGAACCCAAATGCAAATTGTCATATGCAGGTGACCACAGGCTGAATTACATGAATTAAAGCCTGTCTGAAACACCCTGATGGCAGGAAATGGATATTCATAGATTTTCAATTAGGCTGTTACCAACTGCAGGTGAACTCCTGGTCTGAATTTAGGTTCACTTCACTCTAGTCCTGTAGCAGAGCTGAGAAAGAAAAGTTAATTCCCTTTGCAGATTGACTTGGTTAAAATGGAAAAAAAAGGCACCCAAACCACCAACAACCATTCATTTCAGAACAAGCATTCACAAATTTGCCCTAGTCACTGTGCCTGTGCTCCCATTTCGACACACATAATGTCAGCTACCAATGTTTAATGATACCAGGGAAGTACCTAATAAACACAGCGCGGTGTATGGCCGGCTCTGGTGGAGCTGTGCCCAGCTGAAACAGGATCTGCTGCTACACACAAGATCCAACTCAGCAAGGAACATGCTGTATCTCACAGGAGCAGGAGAATGGAATACCTAATATGGACCCTATCTCATTAAGAAACAAACAAAAACTGAAAGACCCCATTTCACAACTCCTGAACTAGCACTGAGAAGAGCTTAACTTAAAATTCACAGGTCAAACTGAAAAATCAAGCAAGCAAATGAGAAGTCACTTTGCCCAACCATTAGCTGCAAATAAGGCTTTCTTCAGAGTATCAGGTACGACTGATGACAGGGTCAGACATGCCAATTAAACTATTAATGAACAACATGGATGTTGCATTGACACTTTGAGTCAGAAGCAGGGATCACCATCTCCCAGGTTAATGCTGAGTGTGCTGCATTATGTGGCTTAACAGGCAGAAGAACTCAAAAGAAGGGCAGAAAAATTCACTTAAAGAGTGGAGTCTTCAATGTACAAGAAGTCTGTGAGACCAGTGAAATACACACTGAAAACACAGTGAAAACAGACAAAGCCTTCTCCTAAACCAGTACACAGGAAAAAAATTCAATTTAAGGAAAATACATGAATGAACACACATTTCTTATCTGTTACTTAAGTGCTGCTCCACAAACCAGCTCCCAAAAGGATTCATTTTATCCATGACAAAGTTTCCAGTTGCACAAACACGTAGTGACCATCCCAGAATTAAAGACAGACAAAGCCGATTATTGGTACGTTTATTTTCGAGTCCCAGGTCTATTTATAAGATTAATGCCACAAAGCTTTCCACTTGATATTTAAAGTATCAAACATGACATCAAGAACTCAGACCTACATAGCTGGAATCTGAAAAGCAGATCAGACACAGGCTGTATGTCTGGCAAATATTTAGGAGACAAAAGTCACCCGCGTCATTTTCTACTTCTTCCTTTTCCTGCTGGGGCAGCCCTATCTTTTTTATTTTTTCCATGTATGGAAGAAGAAAACAAAAGCACTTACGCATCAAAGGGAGGAGAAAACAAGGGTTCTCTGAATTACATAATTAATGCTGTGTACTTAGATAGCTTTCACGACCAAGCAGCATTTGATATGATACCGCAGAATCCCACACAGCTGTTTCTATGACCATTTTCACACCATTTCAATCGAGCTGCACTGCACAGGTGCACCTCTGAAGATCCAGTTCACCATCCAGCAGCTGGGGCAGCTCCACGCAGTGCAACACCACTGGGGCAGCACCAAAGCCACATCTGGCCCTGCTGCATCCAGCAGTGCAGACATAAAGCAGGCAGAGGAACACAGAAGCATTTCTTATATCTGCGAACCAAGAACGTCGCTTGGTACTTGTTAGTACACAACATGCTGTCCTGTATCTTTGATGTGCAATCACTGTTACCAAAATTATCCTGTAATATATTTACGTAGTGAATTGTAAGAAGGAAAGAAAAGCAAAGATGGTGTTTTTCTTTCCCCATTTTTTCCCACTACCACTTCCCGCTTTTTTCCCCTTCCTATTGCACACACAACATGTTAACTACTTCCTTGCTTTGTTATTGCCTCCCTCGCCTTTTTCCTCAGACACAAAACCAGGCAGCTGCTGCTCCGTTGCCCAGATCCGGCTCCCTGATGTCCAATCTATGCTGAGTGAATGGGACTCACGCTTTACCCCTCCCAGCTCGATAAGCCCACTTCACACAGTGACTAATGCTCACCTCTTCCACACATTTAGTCATTCTGGCCCCAGGTAACTTCAGTTTAACTTTAGGCTTACGCTTAGTTGAACACTGCTTAAATTAGAATGCAGTGGAACAGTGGTCACTCACATCAACTATCAGGGGAATGCAGTTATTTACATACATTCACGTGGGCAGAAATGGGCTTGAATTTCTTCTCTAGTAATTTATCTTTCATTTGCTAAAATCACCTTCTTCTCCCATGGGCATTCCCCTTCTGCCATCACAGTCTGACTGCCTCATATTGCTTATCACAGAAGCAGGTTCTACTAGCGTTCTTTTTCAAGCACATCAACCCCACTCTGCCCATTGATTAAGTGACAATTAAAATAGGGCAGCAGTGGATCAATCACAGTGCTGGAAAAGTAAAATAGACAGCAAGATAGATGGCAACCTAAAGAAATTACTTTGGCTGCTTACGGTCATGCTACTGCAGTCAAAAGTAAATCTTGGCAATGTTGGCAGGCTTCAGTGCAGATCTGAAAGTCCCAAA